TCACGCAATTCGGCGTTGTGTAACTCTCCGGTTAACTCATCCTTGAATGTTAATTATTAAGTATTTAAATTGTTTTCGGAAAATGTATTGCAATATAAAATACTATAAGCATTTTTCATTTTAAGTACAAAGAAAATAACAAATTCAAAATACTTTCTGGTAAGCGATCAACAGATAATACAGGGAATCCACTCTATTTGGTAATTTGTGTATTTTATTCAAAATAAAATACTTTTTTTGTATTTTAGTATCTTGGATATAAAATACAAACAATCTATATCATCCGTCGGTAATTTAGTATATCATTGCCCGTTTCTAGAGGACCATAGAGCTATTCTCTGCCATTTACCTTTTCAATAAATTTTTAATTAGTCCAAAACTGTTATAAATAGCAACATTTTAATTTTTAAACATAAGACCTTAACCCAATCTTACCACTTGAGAAGAATTACAGTTTTTATTTCGAAAACTGTACATATTTTTGCTTATAACCCAGGACTGGACACAGTTTCTTTGAAAATAAACCGGGTCGTGATGTCCGTGCTAAAAAAAAATGATCGAATTCGAACAATTTTTAGCAAAGATATAGCTTTTTGAAATTTGGAATCATATTGGTTCTAAACATTATTGAAATTTTAAATTACTTTTTGTTCCCTTTGTCGATTATATTTATCGATTGAGTAACAATTGATTTCTTTATCTTTTGATACGTTGCTTTATTTTATTTTCTCACTTGGCATTTGGTCACTTTACTTATGCTGTGCGAATTTTCCTCACGGGCCTACTAGTTGTAAATATTTTAGGGACTAGAATATAACTAAGAGGTCATCATTAAAATTTAAATAAAAGTGACTATTTCATGAAAGGTGATGAATCTCCAAGTTGAGAGGACATGGAAGTGAGCGAAAAGATTTTTTTTTTTTACTTTTTAATTTAAGGGAGATTTCTTGGAAGTATAATGAGATACAAACAAGCTTTGAGCCGCCTCCTTTCTACGAACTCATATATTAGAGATTAACACCAAAGTAATACACGACGAAGCGCGAGATTAAAAAGTCTTTTTTGGAGTAAGAGCGGCAATCCTGGGCTAAAAATAATGGGAGTCCTTTGTAATGCCTTGGCCGTTGGCCGTTATTACCATGTCCCTGTATTATCTCTGATGGTGTTCTCCCCTTCCCCTCCCATCCCATTCAGGGCCCCCCTTGTGAAATAGTCAGGAAGGGGGCCCCAACATATCCTGCTATGATCCTTATCTTCGGCTAAGCTCCAAAGTTTCACATTGCAACAGTATCTAATTTTATACTATAGGATATCATAAATGTTTTTTATTACATTTTCCCCTTTCTACCTGCCTAACCCTTGGAGACTCTTTTATCATTTTCCTTTTTATTGAATAAAACATGATTTAATAACCCAGAAGAACAGATTGCAAGTAAATTAATTCTGTAAAATACGATAATAATTATTTTAAAAACCGTTTATGAAAGAGGCGGGAATATGTGTCCCGGAGGTAAAATACACAATGTCCACTTTTTAAAGTAAATAATTGAGTAACTAAGAAATCAATTTTAATAACTCAAAATCGTGGTAAACCTATGACATCCCTTTACTCCCAGTCTGCTGTTGTTTCTCAAGTCCTTTACATACTTACAGCTGACATCTCAACTCATCCCAACACTATCATCACCACATATGCTGATGACACGTATCCTATCAGTTAATAACGATCATCAATTGCATCCCATACTCTTCAATCACATTTCACAAATCTTGAAGAATTGTGTCAAAACTGGCGAATTAAAATAAATCCCATCAAATTACCTTTAGTCTTCGGCGAAAACCTATGACTCCCTGTCCTACAGTATCCTTTAACAATTCCACACTTGTTGAACAAAGCCGATAACTAAGATTCCATCTGCACAAGCGACTCACCAGGAACCCTCATACAAGACTGAAGCGACAAGAAACTGCTTGGCGTATCCGACTACCCCAGCACCTTCTAGACAAATGCTCTAAACTTTCAATCTATTACAAAAGACTCATATACATGACTATTATAAGGCCAATTTGGACTAAATTTACTAATTAAGAAACAAATTTTAATACCGCAAAGTTATGGAAACATGGTTCCCCTGAACAAACACAAAAATGGAATTTGTGCTTTTAACCTCCGGGGTACAGAATTAAAAAAAAAACAACATTAAAATAAGGTTTGTCTATTATATTTATTTAACTGTCATAAAAGATACAATTTAATTTTGACATGGTACTTACTTTTGACTTTAAATATTGTATGAGTTTTTTGGACTAACTTTACCATAATATTTTTTGTTTGAAAATAACATTTATAATTCGAAATTATTGAGAAACTCTCCTGAAATAGTTCTATTTCTGATAAGTAAAACTCTTTCAATTTTGAAATAATAGTTTTAATATCACACTGTTGTAATGTTAATGAAGAGAAGGATTAGTCAAAAATAAAACTGGCAAAAATAAATAATAATATTTATTTCAACATTTGCTGACGTTTCGACCCAAAATTCAGGACTTCACCAGGGCTGAGAAAAGAACCAGATAACAATTGGTATGAGAAACATAAATGTTTATAATACTTTACGGGTCGAAACGTCGACAAATGTTAAAATAAATATTATTGTTTATTTTTGACTAATCACCACAACTATCTTCTCTTCATTATTCACTACAGTCAACCATTAACCCACAATTGTGTTGTAATGTTAGGAATACTTTTTCCTTTATAATTATCATTTTCTTGTTAAAAATGAACAGGTTAATTTTATTAAATTCTATTTAGCAATCAGGAAAAAAATATATTTATATTACGTAATTCTTTTCTATTTTAAGCAACGTTGGTAGTGAGTGATTGTTCCAAAATTTATAGAATATAATTTTCCATTGGTAATCACGCAATAACAAATAAATACAAATACAACTTTTATGATCTTAATTAATTCAATATAAATATAATTTATGGTGAAAAATTAAAACATTTCACTCAAAATTATTAGAAAGATCACTCTTTGGCTGAAATAATGCAGCTTTATAATTTTAATTTAAAGTTAATTTTATTTTCTTCGTTTTTTTTATTTGTTTACGCAGTATGTAAATATGTGCTTTTCATTTTTTTTCCCTTACCTTCCTTATTTTAGGTTATACAGGATTTTCCTGGGCACGGGGAGAGAGCGGAGGACACCAGAGTTAAAAGCCCCCACCGTACCGGGACGTGAAAGAGTAATTACTTTATCACATTATGTCACTTAATCACGTGTTTTATAAACGCGTTCGTTGCTGGTCCATCCCGCCTACTATGCCTTCTCCCTTCAAAAATCCATAACCATCTAAAAATGAACTTTCTCATAATTTTGCATGGTGTAACGTGCGACATGTAGAATTCTTGACACTACTGTTCTGTACTTTCCTCTCATAATTGTTTTCGCAGCACGCGGAAAAACATATTTGGTCTCCCTGTTACTTCGAAATCTGAAGAAGAGCTGTTATCACAACGTCGTGGAAATTTGTTTCAGCCATGACACATTTCTCTGAAAAAAATTAACTTTTCTGATTCAATTAAAAAAAAAAAATAGTTCTTATAAACTACTTAAAATGTGTCTATTATTTCTATAAAAAATATAACATATTAGACATAATATAAATATAACATATAGACCCCCTTTTATCAAATTATTAACATCCGCCTGAAACTTGCTGAATAAATAGCTTCATCTCATCGTAACCTACAACTATTATTATACGAGAATTCTCGGAATTTGGGCGTTTTCAATCTGAAGATCGCCAAACTTTATCTATTTAATTAGTTACTAAAATACTCATTTCCTAATGGAAGATAATTTAAGCACGAAATCGAGAAAAAAAGATGGGATTCAAAAATATTGGGCCGTTTGGCGTGACCTAAACTCCCACCATGTCGAAATAACGAGGTTATGTATGCCAAACGGCCCAATATTTTTGTCGGTCACAATTTTTCTCGATTTTGAAATCAAATTATCTTACGGTCCTATTTACGAGTTTTTAGTACCTGATTAAATAGACAAAGTTTGCCGATTTTCAGAGTGAAAACTCCCCAGTTCTATGAGTTTCGTTAAATGAAATAATTGTAGGTTACGAGAGGATGAAGCTATTCACGAAATTTCAGTCGGATGTTAATAATTTGATAAACAGCGGTCTGTACCACGGACTATGTACTATAAAATTAAAAAAAAAATTAGGAATACCGAGAAGGATAATTTATATATTGTATCAAAATCTATAAAGAGGGTATTTTATAAATTGTATAAACATATAATCCATCTGGGTTTACAAGATCCATACGGTATACGAGAGGAGAGCTACTCGTATAAACAGAGAAGACATAGGAGTGATTGCCCTATTGCGGTGTACTTTAATTAGAAATCGCTCTGTGGTTTTCCTGGCTCCAGCACTCCAAGCTTTGGTTTCTGGATGTTCTGCTTCACTTAAAATTTGTTCTTAATACTTTTTCCTTTTTTATAATTTAAGGAAAAGGAACTGTACTTTTTTCAGTCCTTTTTTCAGTTTAGAATTTCTTAGAAATGGAAGTTCTTTTTCCATAAAGAAGATTAGAAAGCATTGCTAATGATAGGAATGCAATAACAGAATGTTTTTTAATAATCATAAAAAATTGAAAGTATTCAAGATTTTGTTTTTCACTTACCATAATTCGTCGTTGAGTTGGTTAAAAATCGGTTTAAAATGGAATGAATAAATAAGAAAAAAATCCTCCTGTATCCGGGTTATTAGTTGTAATTCATTTGCCCACTCGGGAATTTTATGGTGCTTTTCTAATTCATCCCTCTCCTTTCAGGAAGCGCATAAATCGTGAGGGACAGAGAAAAAAAAGTGGTTTTAATATATATAGAGTGATATAGCCGGCCTGGAAGGAAGGATACCTGGTGGGAAACTGTAGATCCTTAGCGATGGCATGGCGGCCCACAAAGGGGCGGATGGAGGTGGCAATAAAGGCGATGAATGGTCTATGTATGCATAGCCCTCCTGCATCGCCATTTTTAAATGAGCGCCTCCTATCTTTCCATTTATATGTATAAGCTCGTACACTGTTCGCTACGACAATCAGCCATCATACTCCCCTCTTCTTTATTAACTATTCAATAAAGTTTTACAACGGGACAAGTTTTGAGAATAAGCATATTCCTTACTAATAAATTCCCTGTTTTAATTTGGTATGCCATTCTTCAGAGACTAAAAATTGGACATTTAGAATAGAATAGAAAAGAAAATAATTTTATTCTGGGACGAAGTCTCTTTAGAATAACAAAAAAGTACAAAATTAAAGTATTATATCTGGCCTAAGTAAAAACAAACATAAAAAGTAAAGAAAATATTAGTTAAACATAATATGTACAAAATAAAAAAATTCTATATACAAAACACTTGAAACCATTCCAAGACACTTAAAACTATTTTCAATGGTAAAATATAAGTATACACTTTTTCAAAAAATACATTACATCCTTCTTAGCAATACACTCTGTGTTTCTGCATAAAAAAAAAAGGAAAAGAAGACTAATCTGATAGTAAGTATTTAAATGATGAATTATATGTAACTATATCATTATGTGAATCATTTTGAATATGTAAATTTACATAGAAGGTTAGGAGGGTGTGTCTGACCGTTTTTGGGATAGAAATTGGAATAGGAGGGTTTCAAATGTAGATAGGGATTTTTATAGGAAGGGAATTCCAGAAATTAAAAGAGCGAGCAATAAACTAGTTTTGGAACGAGGAAGATCTGTGAGAAGGAATGTAAAGGTCGGAAGGTCGATATCTTGTGGAGGGAACAGCGAGGCTTAGGAGGGTGTGTAAGAGCTCTGTGAGGCTTAGGAGGGTGTGTAAGAGCTCTGTTGTATTAAGGTAACTTATATTTTTTAATAATTGATTTTTTTTAGGAAGATTTTAAGATTTTAATTAATTAGGAAGATTTTAATTAATGTAAATTTTTCATCAATTAGTGAAAAATTCTTGCATTTAATTTGAGCGTTTAATACTTTATACGCAAAATTTGATGCTCTGCAACTTTGATTCTATGGGTTTTTCCTCTTAGGGAACTCATTTCCAAGTTACAGGGCCAAATATTGTAATTTGTCTCAGTTTTTGGCAAATTTGGTAAAACTCTGAGCTGGTTGACCGTAGTTTTATACCTTACCGCGAAACCAAATTTTAAAGTTTGTGTGCTCGTTTGACGCAAAATTTAACGTTCTATAATCTATTAAAGAACAAATTTTTTGATTTGAAACGTTGTTTAGGAGTTATAGATGAAAAACCCCAAAAATATAGAAAAAATCTGACTTTTTTGGCTGTAAAAAGTTTTCCCTTGGTGGCCTGCGCTAGCAATTTTGTTTTTTACCTGTCTAAACCCATATATACAAATTAAAAAAATAGAAACTTTTCTCACATTTTTGGCAATGGATTTTCCGTTTCGATCCTCAAATTATTGGCCTAATATTCTTTAAATCAGCCGCCATTTTTGAAAGCAGCGGCTCCGGAACGGCAGACAAGGTTTTTTTTTACTCAGAATAACATACACTTTCGTAATTTACAATCAAACCTTCGCCTGCGATCAGGTCGATTTTTGGGCCCTGGCTCCAGGGCTACAGCCTATGGCAACAGCCTAGCGCCATTTTCGAAGAACAGCTGTTCGGCGCACCGGCAGTCGTCGAACGAGATCGATAGGCTACCGATTCGATATTTCCTCAACAACGACCGTGTAACATCGTAGAAGGTAACCTCGTTGGAAGCAGAACCTCCAAGTTGGCTCGTTTTTTTATTGTTCTGCACCGTCACGAAAGACAGTAAATTATTTTCTTCGCTAAATTAGTTTTATTCTTTTGAACAGTTATGGTTTTCTCTTGCTTTCTTTATAGTTTTAGAAGTTGATTTTATTTATATATTTTTTCCTAATGTTTAATTTGTTTTCAACATTTGTATATATCTTTTTTCCACTATAATAAATATTATAAACATTCAAAATGGGGATTTATATTTATTTTCCATTTTTTTGATTTATTGAAATATTTCTAGTTTTTAATATTTTCTTGTGCATGCATTTTTTAAAATTCTTTTTCAGGTCTTATATTCACTCATTTTCCCCCCTTTCTCTTCCGCTATTTAATTTTACTCGTATTTTCTCCACTTTTGAGAAAACTTACCGGGGAAGGGTTTGTGTTTTAATTTTGAAATACCCCAGGCTCCAACAAACACATTTGCTGATTGTCTCATGTAGTACAGTTGGGAAAGAAGATATGAAGAGAAAACAAAATCATAATATAGTTTGTCTATTTCAAAATAAATATTTGTATCACATTTTTAAAAATAATTTTTTTTGTAAGTTATAAAGAATTTCATTTACTTTATTAATTCACCGTATGAGAATAAATTGGAGGGATTAGGGGAGAGGCCAGTACACGGCAGAGCGGCGGTCTATGCTCTGGGCCCAACGCGAGGAAACAAATGCCTTTGTGAGCGACGGCCATTTAAGGGTGACAAAGCTGTATTAGCCGCTATTCAGGAGGCCAGTGATCGCTCACCTGGTCCGCGACAAATGGCTCTCCATTCACCCTCGGCAAATAGTCATCTCGCCGGCCACCTTCGATACTGCACTGTCCGGCCGGCCATTCTGGGGGAGGGAGGATGGTCGCTGCTGCAGGAGGAATCCGAATGGCTGTCTCAATGCTCCAAGTTATACTGAAGGCGTTAGAATAGAATAGAATAGAAATATAATTTTATTCTGGGACGAAGTCCCTTCAGAATAACAAAAAACTACAGAAATTAAAATTTTACATCTGGCCAGATAAAAACAAACATAACAAATTAAGATAATGATAGGTCATTAAAGAAAAGAAAAGAAAAAAATATTGGTTATACATACTATATACAAAATAAAATAAAAAAATCTATATAAAAAACTCTTGAAACCATACTAAGATACTTAAAACTATGTACAATGTTAAAATATAAATAAACCCTTTTAGAAAAAATACAGAAGAAATAAATGTATATTCTTCTTAACAGTAAAATCTGTTTCTGTTGAAAAAAAAAAAAGAGAAAAAGAAAATTCGAATCTATAATAAGTATTCAGGTCATGAGCTATATGTGAATATGGTCTTATAGATAATATGTAATTTTACATAAAAGATTAGCTGGTGCCTGACTGTTTTTGGGACAGGAATTGGAATAGGAGGGTTTTGAATGTAGATAAGGATGAAGAATGTCGAATTTCGATAGGAAGAGAATTCCAGAAACTAACAGAACGTGCAATAAAGGAGTTTTAGAACGAGGCAGATCTGTGAGAAGGAATGTAAAGGTCGGAAGGTCGAGATCTTGTGGAGAGGGAGTGGACTGAGGACTTGAATTGGAGAAGGTTGTAGGCGTAGGAAGGACGATGATTGTTGATGATATGATAGAGGAATGTACCTAGGAAATATTGTCTTCGAATGAAGGGGAAGAGCCACTCTAACTCAGTGTAATGGTGAGAGACATGGTAGTATCTCGGGGCACCAATTACAAATCTCACGCAACTGTTCATTATTCTTTTCAGAATAATAATTAGCGTTAGAGTGCTAATTATTAATTATATATCTCGATTGATAAAGTTAAGGGGAATGAGCTTACTTTAGTGGATGTATCGCTGATCATTGTTGGCACACTCATTTTTTTCTTTAAGTTATGACCAAAAAAAGGATAAATAGAAAGATAATTTTTTTTTCTTTTTTCCTACCCCACAGGAATTTCTTGATTACAGATACAATATATATATATAAATGGTATATATACATAAATTTTTCAATTTCCTTTTATAGCCCAAGGGCATTTTAAGGTAAGAGGGCTCTGCCTTATATTAAGAGGCCTTTTATTATATCACTGGGCGTGGATGGACCGCCCATAAAAAGATAAAAAAATAATTTTCTTTAATATAATGTTCCATAGGAATTTTTATTTGTTGGGCGCCTGGCTTACCAGCCTTTCATCTCTAAAGAGATAAATCTAGAAAAGTAAGTAAGGTACTTACTCATTATTTGGCCATCATTAAATATTTATTCTACCATGCTACCAAGGTGAGAAGGGGTTAGGTTGGATATTTTTATAAAGCAGCGAAAAAGGTTAACAGATCTATTTACAAAAAGAAATATTTACAGAATTAATACTATGTACAATAAAAAGAAATGAAATACAAGGAAAAAGAGAGAATTTAAACCTAATTACTATATACAATTAAAAATAAATAGGAAGATATTTAAGATAATAAAGATAGTAAAAATAACAAAAAAAAAGATACTTATTCTATATATAATAGTATGGCATGCCACATCTAAACATCTACAAAAGATAGTCAAGATACAAGAGATCTAAGATGTAAGACCACATGCACATACTAAAATATCAATTAGTAATCTGGCCTCGGAAACAAAAGAGAGTAGAGTTTGTTTTGTTTCCTGTGCTTTCTTAATCTTGGTTACAAAGTGAAGGCGATATATAAAAATACTCTTTCTGATATCTTTCAACTCTAAAAAGAGAACCTCACGTTAGTTTGGGTTTACATCAGGCGAAACATATTACTGACAAGAAGAAGAATAATGTGCTGGTGTTGTTACAAAGTCATGCCTTTTGACTGCTTTATTTTATTTTATTATCTTCATCATATTTCTTATTTAACACTAACGCAGTGTAAAGGGGGATACATAGTTTTTAACTTTTTTAGATATTCTCGATCATTCCTTTTAATATTTTCCAAGCATACCTTCGCTCATTATTGCCTGGGCTTTTAATCATCAACTATAACCTCTTGAGTCATCCTGGGAAGATGATAGATGATAACTATCTTATAGGTTTTTCTTCTATTACGGTTTTAGCTTATTAACTGAGATTTAGATATGGTTTTTTTTTTGTTTTCCTACTATTTCTGAAGCTAGCATGCTACTTCTATACTTTATCCATATATCCATTTATTAATTACTTAGTAATTATAACCATGATATAGAGGAGAAGGTACATATTTAGAGAAAAGTGGTGTACATTTCAGATTCATATCATTATTTTTCATATTTTCATTCTTCGGTTTTATTCCACCCCAAGGAGACGTTCACTCATTACTGTCCAGATCTTCCCCTGCGCTGTTATCTATCAAACATTACCTCTTGAGTCATCGTGTAATGATGGTCGGTCGCTATCACCTTGTAGATTTTCGTTCTGTAATATTTTTAATTTATTTGTTATAATAGTTTAATTGGATGAATGTATAGCGAATGTGGTTTTATGTTTTTCCTATTTCTGAAGTTTGCACCCTACTTCTACATTTCGTAGTTACTATACAATCGGAGAAATAAATAAATATTCAGAGAAACGCGGTGTTCCATATCTTTATATCAGTAAACAGAGCTAAAGAAAATTTTTGAAACTATTATATTGTCACAAATATGTCTCTGTATAAATTAATAAATACTTTTTTATCACATTACCCAATATTAGTTAGTCCAAGCACCGCTTCATTTTTTTTCTATCTTGTGAATAAAATTGGATGTTGGTTACACATGCAATAATGTACTAACCTACAGTTAAATTACAAAAGCTGACCTAAGCCAAGAATTACTAATCAGGCCAACAAATATGGAAACATCATTTATCAACTAGTTTTACATCCATAAGTGGATGGAATTAAAATAATAAAAATAACTATTTTCAATAACTATCCATTACAGCGCATAAATATAGTCCATGGTACATACACCTGGGACATTTTCAATCTGGAGGCCCGCAAACTTTCCCCATTTAATTAAGTACTAAAAACTCGTAAACACCATTTGCTTTCAACTTCAATCGAAAGATAACTTGAGCACAAAGTCGATAAAAAAGGTGGCCTTCATAAATATTGAGCCGTTTGGCGCGACCTACACCTCCGAATTGTCAAAATAACGAGGTTATATAGACCAAACGGCTCAATTGTTTGAAGGCCACCTTTTTCTGGACTTTGTGCTATGTTATCTTACGATCCAAGTTGAAAACAAATGGTTATTTTTGAGTTTTTAGTACCTAATTTACCTCCCTGGGAATCATTCACCACCACGTGCATTGGCTAGCCCAGTTTTAATTTATGTATTTGTTTATTTATTTATTTAGTGAATAATTGAAAACAATAGAGATAAAGAGAGAGAAGTGAGAGAAAGGGAAACTTAATGTTAAAAAAAAAAAAAAATATAAAAATAAATAAAATAATAAAAATGTATATATATATTTCTATTGTACTAATATTAACTAATACTTCTGTATATTTATATATAAGTTCATATATTGTCTTAGGGATAGAAGAGTATATAGCAACCCAATATAATTGGGCAGCAATCCTTTATATTTTATGAAAATAAAGTGTTTCTCTCTACAAAGTTAGCCGACCTTCATATTGAAAACTCCCCAATTCCAAGAATTTTAGTAAATAAAATATTTGTAGGTTACGATGAGATGAAGCTATTTACGAAGTTTCAGTCGGATGTTAATAATTTAATAAAAAGGGGTCTGTACCACGGACTATTAGTTGAAGCTGGTATTTCACAAAGTTGTCCTAAATCTTGATCAAACATCGTACCAGTATGTTGTGGTTCATACGTACAAGTGGGTACATACTCAACCACAAATATTTATGGTTCAGTCAATCACTTATCAAAATCCACTATACACCCGTTACTCATAAAAAAAAAATTACAATGCTTTTGCAAAAGTCGAAACCTATGTACCAAATATTATTTTCATTAGATATTATATTATAATAGAATGGAATAAAACTATTAATAATGAGGTTTATTTAGCACACGATTATCTTCTCCTAGAGACTTCAAGTTTAGTCAATCATGTCGTTTTGGGACTTAAATATTGAAATAGTAGTAACAATTATCTATAAAATAATAATAATGTTGTATACGGTTACATTTTGTTGGAAACACTAAAAAACTTTCTTTTTTTTTATGATGAAGTGCAAGGTAGTAAAATGTTTGAAAGTTTAAGGGATGAGTAGTGGATTAAGAATACTCTCTCATGAATATAAATGCCTCTAAGCTCCTCAGCTAAAATCTCTTCTCGAAAGCTTTGCACAAAATTTCACTCTAATTTTATTAAGTTTAGGCGATTCGTAGATATTTTCTGAGAGCTCGGTCTAATCCCTTGAAACATTGCTTCCATGTCATAATTTGTTAATAATGACAGATTTATTACGGCAATTCATTGTGCCGTAAAGAAAAATATATATACTGCTTCTAATTAAAATCGTAGTATTGAAATGGATGACGCTCACAATTTTCTGTTAACTATAGGTTATTCATTATTCTCCACTTTGATTGGCCCCATAAATTTTCTTATATGATGTATTATTCATTTCCTTACGCGGAGGATCCTTTTGTTTTCTTCAGTCATGGACCATGTTTTTCATCCATATGTCACAATTGGTCTTATAATCTATATATATATATATATATATATATATATATATATATATATATATATATATATATATATATATATATATATATATATATATATATATATATATAAGATTAATATTTTAGATCATTTGGTTTTTGAATATGTAAAGGTGCTAATATTGTAAGTTGCTGCTTTGCTGCTAGTTCACCATTCTAATACATAGTGAGGTACCAATGAAGATTTTAGGTTTAAACATTTTGGACCCCAGAGAGTGACATAAAAGTCTTTCAAAAGGTAGAATCGACATCTTTTTGAGTTTCCTTCATCTTAGACAGGTCTGATACCCTTAATTCATTTTACCCACCTGAAAAATAAAATTGATTCGTCTAAACAAACAGTAATCAAAGAATACCTTGAGTATAATTGTAACCATGATTTCTGCTAGTTTGCCCCTCGTCATCGCCTGCTCCTGAATGAGCACTTGAGTACGTTACTGTTGTACAGTTGATTAGAAATTCCAGGGTTGGATGGCATTTGGTGGAGTAATTATCTTCAATCTTCTTAGAATAGTCCGGAGGGAACAGCCGGTGACGCCTGACTCAGGGATCTTTTGTTCTGCAAATCCTTCTGCCATTCCTTGAAGCATTCGCCGTAATAACTTGTATCATCAATACGGATTGTAGCAGACTTTATTTTACACACACATTTATAAATGTTTATGCATTTTTACATACTATTATATATATAAAAACCCAATTTAATGCTAATTTTAAATATATATTTAAAATAAAACCGATGTTCTGGCTTGATGACATCAGAAGGTTTGATATAGGGTTACTAAACAATACTGCTGTGGTAGCTCGAGAGTGACCTAATACGGTACTAAGTTAAAACTAGTATTTATTTTTTTTTTTAGCGCTCCCACAATCATAACATATAAATAATCTGAAACATTATGATATAATCTTTCAAGGTAGGTGTGAATATTATTGTCCTAGCTTTAGGGGAAAAACAAAATGTGAGGTTAAACTTGCTGACTTGGTTTGACAAGGTTCTAACTGGCCTCAACTTTTAGAAAAATAATTTTAAAAATATAAAGTTCTAAAGCTTTTAGATGTTTATTACAAAACCTTAGAATTTTCCTCATTACTTTAAATAATCGCAATTGTTTTTAATTTATATATTAGTTGAATATTACAACATTATGTCACTTGGACATTGGTAATAGTGACATAATGTTGTAATGTTCACATTCACACTATATATCATAACATATAAAATAAACAGAAACAAAATAAAAAATAAATATAATATATACTCTATTTACACTCCGGCGAAGGGAATCAGAAAATCGCAAATTATATTTTGAAGTTGATTTAATAATAAAACATCATATTTCATAGTATTGATTATTATAATAACTATTCAATAATTAATGGAGGAAATCCACAGAAATGGTGGTCTGCGTTGACATGAAATAATTCTAATATTCTAATATTAGTGTGTGCAGTTCAGAGTCTATATTTTATATAGTTGAAGGGATGGAAGGTTATAACTGAATAACTGCATTAACATAATGGGGAAATGAGATATAAAGATATTTAAGCTAATAATATGGATATATAGGCATGGAATAAGTATTTATTTTATATTGTCGAGCATGCATCTTATTCATATTATTAAAATAAGTAAAATAATAATTATTCCAAAACAATCTAATCACCTACAATTCAGATGACTGAGCAAATAGAGATAAATCTGTTTTTGTAGCTTGGCAGTTAATCAGGATTCTGAATGCAGCCATGGGGCCATAATCCATTGCAGCGTGAGCTGGCAAAGCAGCTCATGACAGAGCATCCATCGGCAGGATAAACAGTTTGCATATTTAGCAACTCCCCTTATCTCCTCGTTTGGTTCTGTCGTAAATGTTTCAATGATTATGAGCCGTAATAAAATGTTAACTGAAACATGTTGATGTATACCGCAACTATAATATCTGCAAAACATTAAAGCTTTAAAGGAGGGTCAGAGAAATATATCTTACTTTGTCGTATCTCAAAAAGCTAAAAAGAAATAATAGGTTTTTTGTTTCAATTATTATGAATTGAAAATAATGGTTTTCATTGTTAATGAAAGCTAAAAATAGTAATTACTTTTTAATACAGGAACAGTATTATTTCACTCTAATATTTTATATTTCTA